GGAAAAGGAAGCACAGTCGTCTGCACTGGAAGTGTTAGCTGTCTTAGACGTGTGCGTCACTTGGTGACTAAGTCGTCTTGGTGCGGATAAGGCACAGGATGACTATAACAATGGGATGTGGGACAGGGAAGAGTGGATGGGGAACAACAACCGATGACACTTTCGTTCGTTCGTTCGCTTGCTCGCTTGACCCATGTTCTGGTACAAAGATCAAATTCTCACCACATGTCTCGCAGGTTTGTCAGTCATCAAACAACCTCAAGTGCGCGCCGCGTCCTCGCAACATACACAAGAGAAGTGGAAGACAGCCAATTGACAGACGTCGTCACACCTTGTCAGCGCATACACAAGGTTTGCGGGTGGGTACCGATTATTTGGCAGTCCTCGCAACTTCGTTTTACCACTTGACTCACGTGCAAACCATCTGATTCATCACTCATGACGCCAAACACTACTGTGAGTTCTTCACCCATTAGTCTCTCTCCACTGCCATCGATGATGGCACGTGCTTCTCCTCCATTACCAAGGTTAAGAGGTTTTCCTCAACGTCATCAATTCATCTATCTTCGAGTAACGGATGGGTGACGCTTCTGGGTACTACGCTGCCCTCCTACCCTACCACGTACAACAAATCGGACAAAGAGCTTGCCAACTTTCGCACCAAGTTAAACTCGCTTTGTGAAGCAGACAAGATCCGATCACATCTGTCTGGTTCACTCAACCGACAGTTGATTACATAATATAGGGTAGGGTTGAAGGCAAGACCAAAGTAGGAGAGATCACAAACAACTATGAAGTGGCATTTGCAATCCTCGACGGCTAGCTACACCAAAACCCTAATGTACTTTTCATCCACCGGATGACATCCATATTATTAACGAGTTCACGCCAGGTCGACACCTGACAAAAATTTGCATCCCATGGTCAAATCAAACAACGCAGAGTGGTGGAAATGAAGAAAATAACGGACGCCAACACTCAAGAACCCAACTATTCATCTCTACAATTTACCTATGCAAAAGCAAACAATCGGTCATGACGATTACCAAGATTTGCATCGAAAGGCCTGAGAGATTGGCACGGAATCCAGGGTACTAGTCGGTTCATATTTAGGATAAAGCGTCTGAAAATGGACCACTTTGGACCAGCGTTGGTCAATGATTTATCTCCAGAATTAACAATTTTTTGTGCGTCATGCGGCCTCAACCACTGACGCGTGTATCCTCAAGCCTCAAATCATTTGCTTTGTTTAGTCTTGTGGTCCTTCTGGACATCCATAACTGACATAACTAGACATGGCTGCCTACTAGATTTGCCGTCTATAGGAAGTAGCTCATCACTACGTGGCAATTCAGAGACAGATGGAGTCAGGCGGCAGATAATTACATCCATCTTCAAGGAGTTAGACCAGTTTAATGGAGCAGGTGGAACAGCCCAGAGAGGCAGTGGAGGAGCATTGGAGCGGAGAAGCAAAACAAGGGGATATAAGTTAGAATGCGATCAGCACGCATAAAGTACGTCATTCCTCGTGAAATGTCGTCTAACATTCGGCTTAGTCACTCCCTTATAAATCCCTTTTCTTCAAGTGCTCACGACAAAAAAAAATATGAATATACGTCGATAAGCGACGAGGTATTTTTGCCACTAGCAAAAGAAATGACCATGGTGTAGTCCGCCCTTCTATCAATACCAGTCTTGGGGGGAACGGTGTCAAAATCTGTTAGATTCCAAATGTCCTCATCAGTTACAACTTGAGAAATTGTCATCACACAGTACAACGATTAGAAGGTACCAGAAATAACCTAAAATTCCAAAGCCAAGTCACTGATTAAAAAAGAGTACAGGTCTTAAAAATGCACATTCTCGTGCTCGAAGCTGGCGACGCAAGATCAGTACCATAGCAACCAAAAAGCAAGAGCAGAGGCCGAAGAAATCACACGAGATGACGGAACTAGCCAGACTATCTATACCAGTAAAAAAAAACCGGTTCAATCAAAGACAAATTGAAGGAAGTGAGCCAAAAGCCAGGCACAAAAAGAAGGGGTTAAAGAGAAGCACTGCAGCTTCCAAATTTATAACTATGAAACAGCCTCTAGGTAAACAATAGCTGACAAAATTGTAGGCAAAGGAGAAACCAATGAAGGGCGCTATTCAAAGACGCAGTTTAGCTTTTTACAAACTTCCATCCTTCCATTTGAATTGACTATTTAATTACGCCGAAAACGCTACAAAAAATTGGCTGTTTATTGTTGCTTTCCCTCTTTCGAATTCGGCCTATTCAAGGTAGCTCCATTTGGCTGAAAAAATAACAACTCCAGAGAAGCAGATTAAATCGTAAAAGGACTGTTTCCTACTCAAAAATATTATTTTAAAGTAAAAAAAGAGCAAATGAACCGCGGATCAAGTCCATTTAATAAAACGGTTGAGCCGAATCCCTTAATGCCACGGTTCATTAAACCATCACTGCCAACCACAATTTGTAGTGCCTTCCTGATATGGCATAAATTAGCTTCTATGTTCACAGAACCTTTGCTTCCACCCCCAATTTTGCTCCTCAACTGTCTATTGTTTGTGATCACGTGACTGTCTAGTAGGAAGGAAAGGTGACGACCACTGGTTGGAGGGCTGTCAAAGGAGCATGGGGGACGTTGCAACACATCCCTTACATCCTAAAGTACAGTACGGTGTCTTCCCAAGAGGAGGATTCGCAATAAGAGGACTAAGACGCTCTCCCAACTGACTGGCTAATACCAGCTGTTTCCGACGAAGAGGAAGGCCGACTCATATTCGTTAGGTTCAGCTGAAATTTGATGATAAGACGGTGGGCTTGAAAACAAGAGGAGTAACGGATCAATGGACTGATGATCGCATGCCTCTGGCTAGTGCCCACAGGTTACAAGAAGGTAAAACGAAAGCACTGCACACCTAATCCACAAAAGTATTTATGCAAACCCCTTTTCACCTCCTCCCCAAAAAACAAGAACGTCAAAATTAAATCATTTCAAAGTCAAAGGTGCACCTAAACGTCGACATTCAGCAATTCAAAAACAAAACCCCCTGTCAGACCCAAATTGAGGATTCATTCTGGTCCATATTTATGAAATCAACCTCATTTAAAGTGGTAAATAGTTGGCGGCATCACAAAAGAATAAATAAAGGTCAGCAATAGCACTTTTTACGCCCGAATTCATTTAAGCAAGAGGTGAAAGATATCAATTCAGTTCAGTAAATCAGAAAAGAAATAAGTCGTCTTCTAAATCCCTAAATTCATCTCTTGCAAGACTAAGCAATAAAAAAGGGGAAGGTGATGTGACAACGGAGTCACCATTCAATGAGCGATTATACCTCCCTCACACTGTTGCAAAAAAACCGGCAATAGCCGATTTTAGAGGTGAATTAAAGGCATCAAAATTCGAGCGACTCTGCCCCAGATAAATAAATGCAACGATTCAAAGGAACTCGAGATAAAGCATGCAAAGTAGCCTGTTCTACGTCCACATTAACCCACACGTAAGGAATAGAGACAAGCAGAAGTTTAAAGTGGGTAGTGAAATTGAACTAAAGTTTGTGGACTTCAACGCGGACTGCTAAGATCATGTGAAAAGATTAATGCACCAAAACTGATGAATATGAAAGACAAAACCTAAGATGGGTGGTCTTTTTTCCACAGTCACCGATTCAAAAGCGCTTCAACTGGGCAAAAGAACTTTTCCTTGAAAACGAAATATATCCCGACCATATTAACGGATTTAGGGAAGTTGACGATGCAAAGTTGAAACAAGAGAGAATTGAAAAATTCAAAATGGATAATTGCTAGGCCCTATTCATTCATTAAATGACAAATTGAGGCAATTACACCAGCACGCGAAATTGGTAAGACAAACTGACTTGACTAAAAAAACACATTGAAAGTCTAAAGTAGGGGAGGAAAAATAACAGTGCATTACCATCCAGGGGCGGTGAAGACACCTTACACTCCACAAGTCGTCAGTAGCCAGTAAGCTGAGCCGGTGAGATGCACGAGACGACGTATGCAACCTGCCCCAGCTAAAATGCATGCGTGCGTGCATGAAATGCAGTCAGCCAATGGCACATTCGGACGATTCTCAATGTTGACCTTGAAATAACCAATAGCCCGTGAGATCACGTGACATGACTTGTGCTGCAATGGTGGTAGGGGTGACGCATCGCACCCAGGTAAATCTTTGTGAGCCTCATCGACTGGCACATCAATGCATGAAGCAGCCCTTTTTTTGCCAAAATCATTTCAACAATTTTATTTGTATTAATTTGTGGGTGTCAATTTCGGGGAGTGCGTTCACTTCTGATTACCTCGTTAGCATTGGCTCTGACTGAAAAGGGTTGTTTTTTTCTAGTGCTCTGCGTCTGTCACATCGGTGCAATAAAATCAACAATTTTTCAAGCCACTTAGAGGGCGAAATATGCGTATGGCAAAAGTGACGATATGTGACAAGGGAGAAGAGTTTGGGTCAATGGCATGCCTCCCAGCCAAGTCGAGTTTGCAACCCTCGCCTTTGTCGATTCACCCGGCGTCTCATTTTGGAGATACAGGAAATAGAAATCTAGTGGTGTAAGAATCTCCATCAAGTGAGGTCCCATCGGACTTTTTTTTTTCTCATTTTAATATTAGCTTAGCTAATTTGCCTCGAGTGTGATTTACGCCGCTGATATCACAACGCAGGCAAAACTGAAATCCAGCCCTTTTTGAACATCAAAGAGACGAGACTCATGTGACGAAATAAAGCAATCAGGGCAAGACAGGGGATAGCCACAGGCTCATGTCTTGAATAGACGCATTAGTGGATTAGAAGGGCCTTGAGAATGCTGCTTAAACTTTCCTTTTACAAATCATGGATCGGTGGAGTAGACTTTGTTGGTAAGCGAAGTGGATTCGACAAAAAACCGACAAAAATGTCAGGTAAAACGCTCTGAAAACCATTAAAACCTCATTGCTATACTTTACTGACCTCGGAGCTTAGACACAAGCCTAAAAACAGGGTTCCTAAACATCGGGTTTTTAACAGGTCAAAATGGGAACGATTACTACTGACTACCTACCCGTCGTTTCAGCAGTATGCGCAAGCACCGATTCAGTCATTTTACACAAAAAAGTGATTTGTTACGAATTCGCTTTATACCTTGTTACCAATTACGCGAAGCGTTCACACATTCTTCCATAGCCTCTGGGCTCAATATCACTGAATCACCCCGGTTTGGCCTACTCATTTCCATTTCAGTAGAACGCGAGGATCAAGTCGATTAATCATAGCAGCAGGCAGTTCGCAGTCACAAACCTGTTGCGTACTTAAACCTCTTCCAAGTGGGAAGGCATGCCACTCTCACAAGTAGGTGGGATGAACTTAGCTACAAGAAAAGTGACTTATTTCTTAGCAGGGGAATTACCTACTCCATCTTTACACTACGGTGGTTCTCAAAACGCAGAAAATGCTTCGGCGCGATGGCCGGAGGTGGCGGCATTAACTTTCAAAGACTTGCTTTTCAAGTGTTCGCCCTGGGAATCACTACGCTACTGGCAATGGTCTGGAACGTCCACAATTTCGACCACACCGTCTCACTACATTGCCCACCTCCGTGGTGTTTGGCCCACCCGACCACGAATACGTTTGCGTGGTGTAAACCTTCTAGTCGCCAAAGTCAACTTCGAATCTCATCGTACTCCGACCCCTGGCACGTGCTCCACTCGAAACAGTGGGAGAGAGCTTCTGTTGTCCTGACTAAGTAGCATGAACTTGGCTACGAGAAAGGCAATTCACATGTCCATTCGTCCAATCTCGAATCGAATTTGTGTGACAAAGTGCGGAATCTTCTCTAGTGGGAGAAGAGGTATTTTTTCCACTGGACCTGTTCATGACTTTTCGGAGGCAACAGTTGGCTTTTTCTCCGGACAACTGCAATAAGGGAAGCTTCGAAGAGGTGAATGCTTGGAGGATGGTTTGGTGACCTCTGTGTATTTCAGCCGATGCAGAAGTGGTCACCTTGGCTTGGAGGTTGAGGGGAAACTGCTTTGGGTCGACTGCGTCAGCTAGTATGCAGTGTGGAATGGGAGACACGTCCAAGTGTCCGTGTGAGGAGTGGTGTTGTAAATTGTTCGCCTTTTGTTGTCCTGTTGTTTGCTCTTCCCTCCGTGGGAAGTATTCCGTTTAGTTATTCCATGCATGATGAAGTGTGAAATGAACCGCGTGCCTCTAAGGCATGCCACAAATGAATGCGTGATATCTGTCCCC